CGTATCCAAAATACCTGAAATACTGAATCCGAGAAACAGCTATATTACTGTTCTGTCTACACGTGACTTCTACACAATCCCTGATAACAGCCCCGTTTCCTTCCTTCCTCCCTTCCAGTGATTTCCCCTACGGTTTCAAGAAAGTTGAAGTTCTCTGCAAAGAGGAAAAACGAAGACGGCCAGGTGAGCATTAGGTTTCTTGTGTTATGGGCTGGTAGTCCCCAGGGTTCAACTAAACCACACACGGGCGTACTCTGTTCGTAATCTTTTCTGATGTTCACTGATTCCTCATTCATTTCATTCTACGTATCGGTCTAACCACCAGCCTGCACGTTTGTCCTGCACGAGGTTATCGTGAGACAAGGTATTATGAACTTATCACCCAGTTGTTTTTTTTGTCAGTGAATTCTCTCACGGAGTCTCTTTGGACATTTAATGACGCTCTAGTTTAGCAAACCTTTCTACAGGTCGTGCGTGAATGGTTTGAGGAGACTGAATTTCCATTGATATTCTCCATCCTGAAAATGAATTCAGTCCCTAGTGGAACCTTCCAGTACCTTTCGAGTAGAACATAAGGTTGACGGAAACTCGGGGATTGCGCCTACCTGATGAGCCCAAAGTGGAAGGGCGAAACCGGTCGTGGGCTGTTGAGGAGTTTTCAGTTACCTTATGAGTAGTGCATTATGTATCGCGATATCTCAAATATCGTAGCGACTGAAACATGAGGCGGCCTGGTGCAGCACATCCAGTTACCTGGAAACATCAGAACCGAGAGATTCAGCTGGGTTCCAGGGGAGTATCTCGAAAAAAAAACAAATTAGTTCGCAAATGGGTGTATATTCGGACCTTCGAAGAGTTTAGTGAGATGCGTAAATTTGTTTCGACTCAAGGAGATTTAAAGGGAGGTCCCTCTGAAACTCGCCCTTTTCCGCAGAGACCATCCTTCTACACGGCTTTGATCAGTCTCGTCGAAATCCTGCCCCGGTGTCACTTTGGAAATAAGTTTACGTAGCAACATCTCGCTTCTCAAGCCCCCCCCCCCGAAAAATAGAAGAACAAACGCGTATTCTAGAGTATACTGTACAGTTTAACTCCTGGAGAAACACCCCGTCAAAGCGCTGTTCATATTGTCTGCCCCCCTTCACTCGGCCTTGTACTACCGTGCCTGCCAGCAGTCATTCAGCTCCCAATTTCAGACTTTAATCCAATGGTTGAAACACCGGTTTCTCTCCGTCGAGCAGGACTGGACCCCAAAATTCCTACCAACTATCATAAACGAAGGATTCGTTCAACATTCATACCACTCGGATATACGAATGGTTGACTAACAATCATTCGACTGTCTAAGTTGTTGTCAGTGAAGACGTTTTCACTCGACCAAACAGTTGAAACTGCGTGATTGCCCAAGCAGTGATGCTGTGCTCCTGTGTGTATCGAGCACTCATCGTTGAACGGCTGTGTTTGGAGGGCTACAGGATTCAATCAAGTTAGCTCAGAGGAAGAATAATCCAACAGATGGGTGAAGCCTCCATATGGAAAATGTTTGCTTCAGAAGCAGTCAACACGTGATGAAGCATGAGTCACGCTGTGTGCGATTTAATCGCACTGCGGATTGGCGTATGTGGTAGAATTACTAGCCGGATGGTCGCCGGTTCGAAACTTCCCGAGGGTTCGTGAACTCCGCACCACTGATGATTCCTAATAAGGATGAACCAGGTGTACACTGCGGTTCTCAGACTGACTTCACTTGCAGTGCGATATCTCCATTGCGAAGTCTTCTATAAACTTAATTGTGGGCCTGAGATAACTTGGTGTTCAGGGCATGAACTTACTGACCGGGTTATCCTTGATTCGAACCCAACCCAGGCATCTCAACTGTTCCTGTCTAGGCTTGTGTTCGGAGGCCAGCTTTCCCTAATAACCGAACATCACAATTTGTACGAATGTGTCACGTGCAGGACACGGACCAACCGAAGGTATGTCCTGATTGGTCGCCAATCCGGATTGAGCATCTCTGACTCTACACTTCTCGCCCCTCACGGAGATTCTTGCACGACCTTGTGGAACACTCAGTGACTACCCTATAAATACAGTTGTACTAATTCTCCTTTGTCTCCATGACGGCCTGTCTAGAGCTGCCGTGCCTTTTAATACAACATAGTGGGCGGAGCAGGAAGCCAAGGGACCGATACAGAGTTGCACTACTGTCCAGCAAGTCACAACAGCTTGGGCAACCCAGCCTTCATGCTTCCTTCGGGTCACATGACAGCTAGGCACCGAAAGGACGCTACAGCACAAAGATTTTCATCATCACTATTTATTTTTATTGTCATTATCATTGTTAAACTTGATTGGTTTGCTCCCTCCACCCCGCTCGCGTGCTTCGTTCTTTCGGTTGTATACAGCATTAGGGTACCCGAAAACGCATGAGCATTCCATTCGAATCAACATGTGGTCGTCGAGAGCACACTTTCCTGCTTGTGTAGTTTTTCCAAGTTTCGAGACTTGCTACCTCATATTTGTGAAAAGGCTTCTGTTTTTAAAAGTCTACGGCACGACTAAATTTACTGCCATTTTTCACAACTTTGGGGGGTGATATTCGAAGTTTACTAGCTTTCGAGTGATTTTTTGGACTTTCCTTTTTCATTCCCCCCTCAGTTGCCATGGATATAGAACTTGCACAGTTCAACTCCGAATTGTCCACAAATTCCGAGCCTCGATTTTCTGTCACCAGTACCACCGGAAATTGTGGTCACAGCCACGCGGACCAGAATGCGCGACGCATGTCCGGGTCTGCTCGCGGTTCCGGTTCTTCTATCTGTGCCGTCAGGGAGCGATGTTCGAGTCAAGGAACCATCGTCTACCGAGAGCTACACATTCTGCCTTTCCCCTATTACGAACGTTTTCGTGAGGTATATCATCGGTCTGGCTTTCCTCAGTTCACATACTCCTTCTATCGGGATGATGTTGAGTGGGGGGGGGGAATGCTTTTTGTTGATGCGTAACCGAGTGATGTGCTCCTTTTTTGATTGGGGTGAACATTGTGTCGACACCAGTACCAAGCGGTAAAGCAGTTAGCCCGTGAACGTTTATACCAGGCTGGAACCTTTAATCAGTTTTGTGTGTGGGAGCTTACGTAAGTTCAGCTGTCCCGCAGTAAAAAAAAAAAAGAATCTTCCACAGTTTATTGTTTATTGCCAGTTAAATTGAAACAGCCATGCTACTTACGCGGGCAGACGGTGTGACGTCAGTTTCAATGTAGGACGGATATTTATTACCGGAAACGTCAGCAACCTGGTACTGGGATCAGTCGGGATTGCACCGAGACCTCGAACGTGAACATGAATAAATCAGAGTCGGGCGAGAAGGAACAATCATTGATGCAATCAATGGTGCGATTCCAAATATATATATATATATATCCAACCTTCCGTATCGCCAAATTACTGTACTTTTGTGCATATATATATATATATATATATATATATATATATATATATATATATATATATATATATATATATATATATATATATATATATATATATATTCCGAAGAGTTTCGAACCCGCGACACCCCGGCTAGTAGTTTGAACACTTAACCGTTCGGCCACGAGTGGCTGATCAGCGGTGTGATTAACTGGTACTTAGACAGGATATAGTGCCGCTCATCCCTCAATCACGGGATCCACATCACGCGGTCACACGTGTTGATTGGCTCCTCGAGCAATGACTTCTCAGATAGAAGTTTCACTCATAGGGTGAAGTTTATTCTTCGCGGGTTCGAGACCTCGGAGTGTCACGTGACGCGCACTTCTGATGATTCCCGATAAGGATGAAACAGCTGTACAGTGCTTCTCGGCTTTTCAGCATAGGTGGTTGGCTTCACTTACAGGGTGAAATCCCACAAAAAAACCCAAATCTCACACTACCAACAAAAGTACAGTAATTCAGCAATACGGAAGGTTGAATATCAATGAGGTAAGTCGGTCAGGTGGATCAATATTCCAGTGGGTTTATGGGTGCCAAATATTGTTCGTGCATCATCAGTACTTTGTCGTCTTTTGGTTGTGTGTCGTAGCGAAATGAACATCTTTGTACTACGGCATAAGGCGTCGCGCAACGGGTCTAAATTAGCGAAAATTTTATGATTCAGTTGGACTTATCGGATTGTTTGGTGCCTCCATAAATTTTCGCACAAAGCCGTTTGAAAATGACTAACGTGGGGCTATTCTCGACTGGCGTTATCCTATTAGTTCTAACCCAACGTTCCTCCAATGACGCCTTGTTGATACGTTTGGGTGAATGGCCGACATAACCCCGTGGTTCCGTTGTTTTAAAGTTGTGCATATGTACCGGATACCAGTTGATTCAGTGCTAGAGGAAATCGAGGATGTTCAATAGTTGCGCGTCCGCGGCACTCTGCGTATTTGACCTGTTCTCATCACGGAATAGTCGGAGCCATGGATCTTCATGCAGCCTGTATGAACCTTTTCAGCAATCAGAGTGACCTTACATCATACCTTTATAGCTAACGAGCCATACTCAATAAGCATTTGACCCACTCATGATACCTGATGTTTCAATCTCAAGCTCGACCGTGTTAACTAGCCTTTTAACAGTGCCGTTCTTTGATTTTTCGAAAGGAATCTCTCTCGAGTTGGAACAATCTCAGCATCGATTGACTGTGCAAATCATGTTCATGGCTTCTGTAAGACTAGCTTTCGATGTTCCACATTGGTTTCTCACACATTCGATTGTTTGTTTTCTGATTCGTGAGAATTTTCCTTCTCAAATTTGAAGGAGTAATTGGGTTCGAGAAATACACTCATTTGCAAATCAATTTGGTTTTCACGGGAGACTCAATTGAATCTCTCGTTTATGACGTCCTCCAGCTGAATGTGCTGCACACAGACCGACTCATGTTTCATAAACGAGAGATTCAGTTGAGCCTCGAAAACAGTCCACTTTCGGTTCCAATAGGACATGAGGTTGACTAAAACTCTGGGACTGCGCCTACCTGATGAGCCCAAAGAAGGGCGAAACCGATCGTGGGCTGTCGAAGAGATTTCAGCAACCTTGAGAGTAGTTTCCTTTATGAAAATATACTGCGATATCTCGAATATCGTGCCAACTGAATCATGAGGCGGCCTGTTTGCAGCACATTCAGCTGGAGGACATCATAAACGAGAGATTCAATTGAGTCTCCCGTGAAAACCAAGTTGATCTGCAAATGAGTGCATTTCTCGAAAACAGTGCAATTTGGGTTCAAGTAGATCATAAAGTTGACGAAAACTCGGGGACTGCGCCTACCTGATGAGCCCAGAGTGGAAGGGCGAAACCTGTCGTGGACTGTCGAAGAGTTTTCAGCAACCTTGTGAGTAGTTTCCTGTATGAGTAATTGGGTTAATCACTAAAGCAGGTTTCTGGCCAAGAAACGGTGTTTTCTCAGCTCATGTCAACCGAAAGCATTTGGTTGCTATGGCGCCTTCTAAGTTGTTCGAGCTTGTCACACAGTTGAACAATCACGAGTAACTCATGGTCGTGCGGATTGTCCACATTCGCTGTCCACGCAGTACCATCGACAATTATATTGAAGTTCCACTTTCTTCATATGTCCTTGAGTTTGGTGCTTGGAACGTGGCCTCACCGGGAACCTATTTGGTCCAGACTCTCGGAATTCGCAATCGGTCGTGTTCGAGACGATTCAATCACGTCGGTTCGTTTATGGCAGTCAACTGGTGCCCCTAGATCTCTTGGGTCTACGGATGCGATGACTTTCAACTCGACCACAGTCCGCGTTATGACAGACGGCATTCTCGCTCTTACTGGGCTTAACCAGGTTGATCGAGGAATTCAAACCTAGAGCAATGGCTTCCTCATTGGTACACATCCAAGCGTTCCAAATCCATTAGACAACTGGATGTACAGGATAGTGTTCAACCTCATAAAGTTTTCCGAGTGCAAAGTACTGTATGTCAGGAGTTTCCGTTTCTGGTAGCTGGAATCGCAACCCATTTGCTTTCTTTGCTTCCTCCCGCAACCTTCCACAGGTACTCCGAAGTTTACTGGATACAGAACTCATTCCCCTATGTATTCATGTTTGGAAGAATCTCCCACACGACGCGAGCAAATTAAACTTTGTGACTTCACTACTGCGCACTACAACAGAGCTCAAGTGTCACTTACAGCTTTTGGTCAATCTTCTGAAGACTGACATTATTCAGGAAAACCCATGTGAGTTTTCACTCGCCGAACGATGTTCTAGTTAGTACCGCATCCATCTGAGTTGCACTCACCTACTGGCTCTCTTTCTTTCCAGCTCTCTCTTTCCGAGGTAATACACTTGGGCGCCCAATTCTGGACCTCTATTGCAACCAAATCTGCTCGAAATGGCGTAATCAGTGCCTTAGGCGTGTTCGTGAGGAGGCACTTACCGGCCCACCAGCACCGCCTAACCTCACAACAATGGGTTCCTTCACGGCTGCCGTGTGTCCCTCTTCCGTGGGCACGACATCAGCCACCACCACCACCACGAACACCACAATAACAACGAACAGTGCTGCCGTTCTGGGACGAGCCTCGGTTAACGTGGCCACTTCGAACCTACGGCCTACTGCCTATTCGTATCCTTGTGGTGTAACTCGACCTTGTTCGCTGTCCGCGTCGGCCAGTACTTCGACCAGTGCCTCCTCAGTCGAACCAGTCCAAGCTGATCTACATACCTGTGTGGATAGTAAGTCCCCGGTCATTTTGTGCACCTTCTGAGCCATTCTTTCGGCAACTTTTGATTCTCAGGACTCTGAGCTCGAGATACCTTAGTCCGTTAACGCGCGACCTTATTCACCAGAAGATCGAGGTTTCAAAATCAATTTCCGATATCTCCATTTCGTCCTGTCTAGGCTTGGTCAACCTGGTGGTATCTCAGCCCCCCTGCTTCCTTATGGTGATATGATAACACAATAGGCGCCCTGGGTAGTTCGCACTGTGTGGCAACCTCACTTACACAGCATTTGGAGACTATCCAACTCCAACTGTATGCATCGCGTGAGTGCCGGAGTGGCGATCACGAATGTGGATGCTTATAGTATCGTTCAGCTGTAGCTCCCTTCCGGTGCCTAACTGTCATGTCACCCAAAGGTCGCACGAGAGCTGGGATACTGTCAGGTTGCTCAATCCTAGACAGGGGAAGTCGACAGGCAGAGGTCATCATCAGCACCCATGTGTACTAACCGCGCTTTCATATTTGCCTCATGCTGATATTGCAGTTGGGTCGAATGGTGATGAATCGTGAGACGTATTCAGGTTTCAGCAGGTTTCGATTTCCTATGACACCTGTCACTTTTCACCCAGTTGTCCCGCCCTGGGGCGACTACTTCAATAGACTGAACAGTAACGATGTTTTCAATGGAGACTTCAGCTGTTGGAAAACGAAGTCAGCTTGTGGGAAGGTTAATAGTATCTTTCAACTGGTGGGGTCGAGATGGCCCAAGTGGTTAGAGCGCCAATTTACTGACCGGAAGGTCCGTGGTTCGAACCCGACCCGTTCTGCCTCTCGAATTCCCCTGTCTAGGCTTGGGCAACCTGGCAGTATCCCATCCCTCTTGCTTTCTTTGGGTAGCACAGCAGTTAGGCACCGAAAGGGTGCTACAGTTCAGTTGAACGTTTCAACTGGTCGTCAGCCGGTCGAAGGGGATGTATTACGGAATTTCAGGCTCAAACCCTGCAATGCTTTCAGTTCAATGGCATGAAGGTGTTCGGTTGTAAGCTCACATTCACCCCGCGGATGCTTTCAACACAATCTTAACCAGTCAGTTGCTCAGTTCGATAACCTAGGAACCACCTATCTTTTGTGCTTTGTGACTTCGATCGTATTCAAATTCGTGCCCCACTTACCTGGCTCTCCAAAACCCGTAAATGAAACCGCACGACGACATCCCGTTCGTTGTCTACAAGGCGTAGCTTTTCAGGAAGGTTGGTTAATAAACAATAATCGTTCAGTCGTAGCACCCTTTCGGTGCCTAGCTTCCATGCCACCAGAAGCAAGCATGAGAGCTGGGATACTGCCAGGTTGCTTAAGCCTAGACAGGGGAAGTCGGNCTTCCGGTCAGTAAATTCGCTCCGTAACCGTTGTGAACCATCTCAATGGAGAAGATGAAGGCAACCTGTAACTTGACCCACTCGCCCCCTAAATTGGCTCTGATAGTGACTTGTGTCTTCTTTAGCTTCTCGGAAGCTCACTACACCAGGCCGATATTGAGATATCGCACTGTCTCTTGAACGAAGGTGATCCTGCAGTCCCCGTGTTCACTGTTTTTAGTGGTTTGATAGGTGTGTTTGATTTTTCCTCTTGTTCGTAGAAAATCCCCGAACTAGCCCTCAGCAACAACAGCCGACCGTCGAACAGGAATGGCACTCTCGCCTCATCTCCATTGCCGTGGATGACTTGATCAACCATGTGCACACGTTTCCCCTCCAGGTTCGATGGATCTACTCGGAATTACAGGTCTGTTCGGGCTTTTGTTGGCCGCTGTTTTACGGCGCATGTTCCTGATCAGTTGTCAAGCGACGATATTTATTTTCGCGCATGCGGAGTTATTTATTTATATATTACTTTTTATTACTATTATTAATGAGTCAACTATTACTATCTTTGTGTCAGCTAGAAGCTTGTTTGGTAAACTTCATCGAGAAGTTCCCAGTAACTTTATAGTTGGCGTTCCATCCTGTGTTTGTACACCAAGCATTATTATCTTCATCGTCAAGCATCAAAATCAAACAACCTGGTTTTCTTCAGCTTGGACGTGTTAAAGCAAACTACCGCAATAAGAAAACAAGCAGTTTTATACTACTGTCGCACGCCACCCGGAAACTCCTTTGAGAACTTGGACTTTCAGCCCCAAATGTTCGCTTCCTAGTAAAGACGGTCGATTAGTCTATTGGCCGGCCGGGTGTTCTATTTCGACCAAAAAATCGCCTCACACGAGAAATCTGTCATATAAAATATGCTACTGAAACATTTCTAAGTAGTTTGTTTTGCATGGGGAATATATTTTCGAACGCTTAAGCCAGAAATCGCTTTCGGTTGACTTTCGGCACACATGTTGCGATAACAAAGTAACGGTGTGTCTCATGGCCTGTTTTTGATTTCAACAGTCTGTAATAAATGACATTTTAAAGAAAGAAGTCGTAGTCTGTTTGGAATCACAATTTTTTTAGCCACGGACAGGGTGGCGCCCACATATTTGATAGCAAGCCTGGGATAGTATCAAGGCAGAATAGACCCAGTGCGTTTTTAACTGGTGACCTCATTGTATGGGGCTTACGATATCACCTTTAATTATATTTTAACGTATCGAGGCCTCAAGAGATTGAATCGCTGAAATATATAACGCTCCAAGCACACAATATCGATCGGTAACCGGTCACGTAGGGTACGGTCGGCTCTTTCGTCGCCATTTATGTTAAGTGGTGCAAGTCATTCAATGCAGCTTGACAATTACTAAATTACTAAATTACAATCACTAAACTATCTGGCCAAGTATACTACTCGTCAGAAAAGGTGAACCTAGATTATTCGCTTTTGTTGTGCACCCGAAAAGCGTCTGGAAGTTCCAACCACTCATTTCATTTGACCAATTCATTGAAAGGCGCCCACAATCTTGCCGCGCCTGGCGACTGTTACGTTGGTAAAGTGTACCAAACTACTTATATCACATTGCGCAACCGTTCGTTTTGAAAAAATGGTTACCGCGTACTTTCAGTTGAGGTTTTCCATCTTGAGTTTCTCTTACACCAAGACGCGGATAGAGCGGTGAGCGAAATTTGCCCGTATGTGAACACATACGAGGTGAAACCGGATGCACTGTTTTACTGACATATTTTGATGGAGCTTTAGAATCTTAGTTAACTATCTGTTACCTTAGACATTACCTTCTTCAACTCTAGTGCGCATACCTGTGGTGAACAGTCCTTACATTTTTTTGTCCGTGGTCTGACAAACTATGGCATAAGGTCTAATGTTTTGCTCGCCACTCCTCTTCTGCAGGCTCTCTATTCGGATCCGCACAGCAACTTGGTTGGCTGCAACCTGGTATTCCTTCGAGGTATCTGCCCATATCTCTCATCTCCTCCGAACAGTGGACGAGGCTCCCTCTCCGGTTCTCTGAGTGGCGGTGTGCTCAACTCTTCCACAGGTGGCTGCTATTCCGCACTGAACACATCCAACGCTAACTTGTCCGAGTCCAATGGAGCGGTATTTCAAGATTGGGTGTGTCGTGCTGGACAAGGAAGTACTATTCCAGCGGCCACTGGAGACGTAAGTTCATCTACTCCAGCTTTGCCACACGTGGTACCTTAACCTAGATTTGAGATACATCGTTGCTGAATGTCCGCTCCTTTCAACGCCAGATGACTGAATATATCCCTTCTTTGTAGAAACTGCTTTAGAGGATCAACTTATCATCGCCGTATGGTGCGAAACCAAGTGGTAGGTGTAGTTTGGCTTTCCTGGAGGATGAAGAAAGAAAGTTGAATGAGTTCGAGACAGCGCACTGGTTAGGGTGTGAACTTACTGACCGGGAGTTCGGTGGTTTGAATCCATTCGGATTGCTTCTGTCTGGGCTTGGGCAAGCTACCAGTATTTCCGTCCTCGGGTTTCCTTCCGATGGCACGGCAGCTATGCACCGAGTGAGAGTTACGGTTGAAAGAATTTTTGTTACAAACGTTGGATACGTGTTAGGATCTGCTTGACTCAGCTGGTTAGCTGGAGAGCAGCGGCTGTCAACTCAAATAGGCTGCAATATGAGTGAACTTTCTTATTTCCTTGTTTAATGTTAGATATTTTAAGCTTCCTGGTCTTGATTCAACACATTGTGATGAACGGATGGTACCGTTTCCGCGGCGCCACGCATTCGTTGGTGTAAGGAGGCAGTCAGACATATTTGCAATAGGCGAACTGGTCATGTGACTGTTGCTGATTTACTACTAAACTCCGAAATAAGTAGACCCACCCGAAACTTTGGTCTATATGCAACGAACACTCAGCCCAGGTACGAGTGAAAGAAAGAAGGCCTTCGCTGCGGAGTTATTTATTAGAAAATGCCAATTGACCAGTTACAGACTATTGGACAGGGAAACAAAACTCTCATGCATCTTGTTTACAAAAACTGAACATCCATATTCTCTTGAACACGTCTGCTCGAACCTTCCTGGATATTCGTTGACTGTTGCTCAAATCCAAGCAAATGCTACAAAGCGACTCCACAAATTCCGCAACAGATCTCCTTTTTCATGAGACGCAAAGCGAATTTACAAGAAAACATACTACTCACATGCCTTCCCCATCTGTAGTATCACCGTTACACCAGGTTATTAATTATTCGTTGAAAACAATGAATGTTGGCCGTTCACAACCATACGACCACACGTGAAAGTAGGTTAAAAATTTGGAGGTTTGATTGGAATTGAATTGAAGGCTTTCTGTATCCTTGAAACTCCAGACACCTTCCATCAACATTCCAGTGCACCGTTTACGTTCAATTATGTAGTTGATCGAATCGTTACATCTGTTATGTTGTGTGTATTTGCCTGCATAATGCGTCCCCTATTCCTTTCATTCCCCACCAGGCATTAGTGGTCGTGGCCAAAACGTTACTCGCCCTAGTCAGCCCAAACGTGGCAGCCAAGTCAAAAGCGGATAGTGTTCTCACACAGGACCAGTTCATGGCCTATCATACACGACTTATCAGAGAGTTCCGGACACCACTCACGGTAAGCTGTTACAACACAATGGACCAGATCTGACTGAACTAATCCCCATTACTTTCGCCATATGGACCACTCAATCACAGCTGTTCCAAACCGTGGAGTCATCAGTACCTTTGAATCTGCTTCAGGACACCGAAGTTTCGGTTAATTCATCTACTTTGGCACTTTTAGACGTGCTGACACCAATTTGATGACTTTTGTGAGGTTTTTACCGTCAGGCTGTTCATTAGTTGCTTGTTGAGCTTGAGATAGCTCAGTAGTTAAGGCTGAATTTTACTGACCTGAAGGTCCCCTGGTTCGAACCCACTCCCAGGATCTTGACTACTTCTATCCGGGCTTAAACAGCCCAGCAGTTTCCCAACTCCGGTGTTTCCTTTAGATGGCATGGTAGCTGAAACGATTACTATTACTATTATTATATATCATATTATGTATTGCATATTATATAATTGTTATTCCACTGCTGACGGATTGAATATTACGGATACCGACTATGGGTAGTTCGAAAGCCACTCTCCCTGCCGGTTGTGCCCGCAATTGATCAGACTTCTGTAAACCAGTAGGGAAAGATGACTGTTCAATTCGGATTTCAAAATATCTTCTGCTTTCAGGTACTCGTTGAGTGCAATTTTTATTTGGAAGTTTGACCTTTGCCAGGTAGAGAATAGTTAACGAGAACTTGTTTTTTTTGGATCAATTCATGGCAAGCCCACGTGTTATTCCACGTCGACCGACGTCGACAGATGGAACAGTGGTTTTCCCGTCAGTTGGTAGACGAAATCAATCAAGATGCTGTGGGAGAACTTGAACGTTGGACTCATGAGGATGAGTTGGCTGTGACAAGACTAAGTTCTAGTATTTCAGAAAACGTTTTATGGAATACGTACATCCGCAGATCGGGTCTCTCCTTTCTCCATCCTAGACTCCACTCTCAGCCGCCGAGATCAAGCAGTTGGAACAGTTGTGTGAACGGGAAGCCTATCGCGCCAGCTATTGGTCCCTCAGTCGCGAGCTCGCTCAGCTGGCCAACTACTTTCTTGACGCTCTGGGAAATCCTCGTCCCGCATCGGATACTGCCAGTCATTCTACGGCCAGTGACCAGAAATCGGGCGATTCCTACACCCCACCTCGCGCGCCTACCCTATTGGCTGTTCTCTATGACCTTGACGAACTAACACTACAGTACCTCAGTTCCACCGAATCGATCCCGCGGAACTGACCCAATCGATAACACAGAACCCTTCCCCCTACCCCGTTTTCGCTAGTACCTTAATCTTGGTTTTAATATCTCGCTGTCTCTGCTTTCAACTTGACATGCCTAAATGAATGGAACAAGAATGAATAGAATTACTTTGCGATATTTTCTCTCATGTTTAATGTTATCTTTTTTAATTGAGACATATGCTTATTTCTGATTGTTTATTCCCACTCGGTTTATCCACAAAAATGCACTATCGATCAAAACACCATGTACACATTGATGCCATCTGGTTTCTTCAAGTCATTTCTCGAATTCCTCTCTTTTTGTTCTGAGCTGCACTCTGACCTCTCCTCCTCACCAACACGAACAAAAATGGAAACGATCTATTTGATTTGTTTGAGATATGTGTACAGCGTTTTTGTCATTTTGCATGAATGTATTTGTTTTCTTATGAACGAGACTCTTGTTCTTCGGGAGAGCTCCATGGGCAGAGTTGTCTTCAGAGACCACATCTGCCCGATCACCAAATTTGTTACGTGCAACTCTCGGGGTCTTTCTGTGTTCTACCCATGCTGTAGTTCGTCTGAATGAGCGGATTCCGGTACATTTGTTTCACTATAAATAGATCATCTGAAGGGATGGGCTAAGCGTGGCACTGCCCGTCAGGGAACTTATGTAACTGAAACAGAAGTAGTCAAAGTGTAACAGGTTGTGGTACTACTTCGTGACATCTCCAGGCTGTATAGCGGCGAATATGTACTGCGTTGTGTCCTTGAGGAATTAGAAGGATTCCGAAAATGCAGTTCCAATCCGAGATGGTTTCCTCTCCCGGAGTAAGGACCTCCGGCCTGAGATTATATAGGGTGTCTCATAATAGACGCAAAAAAGTAATACCCATGTTAAAACTTTAACACTAATTCAAACATTTATTATTTTTTATGTGGACATGCATGCATCATGGAGGTTTACTGTGAACCAACTGGCATTACAAAAGATTTTGAAGAAATCGCTCCTTCTATAACAAGTTTGAGGCGGTATGAGATGTGATGGTCACTCGAACCTTGATCATTCCCCAAAACCAATAATCCAGAGGTGTGAGATCGGGTGACCTTGCGGGCCACGAGCGATGACTCTCTCATCAGAAAATTGCTTTCGGTGGTGAGTACTTAGTTTTAGTAGTCGGGTAGAGCGCCATCTTGTTGAAAGACGGTCGATGACTTCTTGCGCTGCTTGAGTTGCGGGATAACATGCGCCTGCAGTATCTGGAGGTAGCTCGCCGGAAACTGTAGCATCAGAGAAAAAAGGGACATGGGAAACACTTTGAGGAGAATCCCATCCACACACAGAGGTGAGGGGAATGGAAATTATGGGTGAGGTACTCGTGAGGAGCTTCACGGGACCATATCACGCAATCGTACTCGTTGATAATGCCATCCACAGAAAAATTTGCTTCATTGCTCCATGAAATGTTGGGAACGATTTCTTCATTGTCCAGCAGCCAGTTAGCGAACGTGACACGTTGCTCCTTGTCTTCTTCCGTGATGTGGACTCAAATTTTGCAATCAAGCGTTTAATGGTCGACACGGTGAAAGGATCTTTGATGAGACCATGTTTGGTTTTGTAAACACGAAGTGCAGCGGTGGCGTTTTCACCAAGGGAATAATAGAGTTTCACAATTTCAATGGCCGTACTGACATCCATCGTAGACGGAAAAAGTGCCGACACTCGCACACAAAACCTCCTTTATGTGGCTACTAATAATGGAAGCTTTTGACATCCTTCCTCTGATTACCTACGTTAACCCAATCAAATTTTGCGTCTATTATGAGACACCCTGTAGACTTGCGTCCGACTTCTTGGGTCCTTCCATAGTTGAACTACTCCAAGCGATTTCTTTATTGTTTCTTTGGCGAGGTTGTGGTGGATTGAATTGTGCCGTCGACTTCATCCTTCTCCAGATTGATTTCCTGTAGCTTGTTCATGAACTTCATCAGTCTCTTTGCAAAACCACCTACTAGGCGACTTTTCAGTTGCAGTATGCAAGACGGACCAAGTTGCTTGACATCACTCAGACATCTGCTTGAAAAACAAAGATAAGCTCTACTCTGGGGGTCTGGGGAGAATAGTAGAGTTTCACCATTTCAATGCACGTACTGACATTCAGCGTAGATGAAAAAATGTTGACACTTGCACACGAAACCTGCTTTATGTGGCTACTTATAATGAAGAATTTTGTTATTCTTCCTTTAATTGGCTACGTCTACTCACCCAATCAAATTTTGCGTCTATTATGAGACACACTCTATTGTCTCTGTCCCACGACCTATATCATTGATGAAAAAATGACTCCTCACCAGGAATCACCAGTTTTTGAGAAATCAGAAAAGGGCTTTGATGGGCCGAGTTTAGTTCAGTTGGTCACTTGCACTGAACCTTTCTGATCTTGTCTAGTTAGTATGATTCTTCGTGCAAAAGATCGGTCCTGTGGATCATGTGTAGTACAATAAATCATGCGGTGTAGTATGGGACCAGAACCTGACGGTGTGTTAGGCGGAATTCCACATGGGTCCCGCTTTATTGCTCGCACTCAGGTGCTGCTAGGGCCGAGAAGTCCATCCCACGCAAGATTGGTCAAGAATCGGGACGCTTGTTGGTCCGGCATCAAGGCGAGATGTGATTGGTTAAAGGTCTGGACCCAACAGCCAATCATGACCCAGCATTGGCCGAATGTTGGTTGCCAATACCGCAGAACGCGTCGGAATTTCCAGAAAGTTATCTCCGCCTACGCTATATATATGAAGCGCGATACCACTGTTCTTGACTTCGTTTCGGGCGTTAATGTACCTTGTTCACTTTTGGTGGTTGGTTTTGACGTGAACGCTAGCTTTGGAGGCTTAGACCGAGAACTAAGCTGAGAAAAATACCGTTACTACACGGTGGTCGGCCTAGTTTTGTTTGGTCGGAGAACTCATTCACCCGATAAATGCTCAGTTGTTGGCCGGTAACACCGCTAATTGGCCTTGGTCCACGAGTACGACTCGTGTACGTCTGTCCGACAGAGTTGTTTTCTCCAAGCCCTGTCCTAGGTGAAGGCGACTGAGCGGTGGACAGTGTATGACCTGAAAACGAAGTATGGAGGCGCTAACAGATAACTTCAATCGGGCCGGTAATGGTCGTCTCCCCGGACTCAACTCATCAATGGTTAATAACCTGGCAGACACGGACCAATCGCGCAGTCAGTAGCGCTCGTGCATCAAAGCTGTCGCATTTATTGCATAGCTATGCAGTTTCCGAACTAACTGAAAATGCCATTGTCGACAATGCCTGGCTGTGTGTGCCACGCTTCCCCAGTTTCAGATGATCCAAACTGTAGCAGGTGGAACTAATGTGCTACTGGTACAAGGTACCAGTGATTCAGTTTCGTTTCAGTCTAGGAGCCCAGTTGTACCCTTCACCTGCGTTTGTTACTGTGAGATGAAAGCTGGCCTGTCTGCGTTTGGACTGCTCTCAACCGGAGATGGTAACGGTGGATAAATACAGTCGTATTAGTTTGTCTAAACGCAACATACTACTCATGAGGTTGCTGAGACCTCGTCGACAGCCATATAAGGTCATCGGGGAGTCTACTTCTCCCCAGATGATGTTCTTTGCAAAACAGGGCGACGGCCAATCAGATGCGTCTAAGAATAACGAAACAGCGGTAACGTGGCACTGATTCACTTCACTCTCGCATAAATCTTGGCTTTACAGCATCGAATCATCAGTGTTGAACACCGATGTCATACTGTCGATGATGATGAATCTTCTCGGTAGTCAGGTACAGATGCTTTGAGCGTATTTTCAGTCTCTGAATGCATGAGTGAGCATTTTTCTGGCTTTGGCCTGTATAGACATTAGAACGATGCCGAACCAATGACCTATTCTAGGTGGTCCTCGATTTACAAAGACTGCATCTCTGATGAGACTAGATAGTGGACAATGGATTCACTGTTTTTTTTTCGCAGTAAGAATCGACACCTCTGCATAAAAACAATGCTGCGCAACACACGTGGTTGACCATTTTACTCGGCCGAAGAACGAAGCTCCTGGATATAATGACCTACGTCACGGAATATTCCAGGCGGGCTGGGAAAGTCCATCAGAATAGGGATTAGCATGGAGTGAATGCATTTTTGTGTTTTGCGTAGGACTCAAGTGAGAAGGTGATAGCTGTTCTATACAGCCTGCTGTTGAAACTAGTCAGCTGTTCAACTGTTTAACCCCCTTTTGCTCACCCCTTCACAAAAAACAGCACGTTTTGCTCACTGATTTCTTATTTGCATGAGGGAGGAAGGCTTGGCTGGTCGAGTAAGTTGAAATAATATATACATTTGTATAATATGTATGTATATACCTTGCGGATGAAAAAGAAAACCTCCCTACTAGGAACACTCAAAACCTAAGGCTAGTCGTGAAGATAATACTATATGATACGAATTTACAGCGCTTAGCTGATATAGCCTGGAATTGTGTGACCCTAATGTTTGACGGCTCACCTAGATGATCGTTTTGTCACAAAATTGCCACTGGCTAGACCTTTTATTCACGACAAGGCTGTGTCAGCTGGGAAGTCCTGACTGGCGGGTCGATCGATCGTCAAAACCAGAACAGTTATTGGGTCGTCGTTCGATGAGTAGGGCACACCAATCGCATTGCTCAAGTGTGAAAACACTGTCCAGACGTGAAAATTCAAATGCGTCCAGCGTGCGCCGGTGGAGTAGTGGTTACACACTCGCCTCACATGTCAGATGTCCGGGGTTCAGATCCCGGCACGGCCGTTGGAGCGGCTCTAATAAGAGCGAAACTCGAGTCCGGTGCTTCCCTTTGATGTGGACTCACCGGAATAATTACGTCAGAACAGGAGAACGACCGTTCAAAGGAGGGTGACGTGACTATGAACAAAATATCAACTGAGTTGAGTGACAAGCTTCATGCGAATCGC